TAATCGGGTGCGACCAAAAGCCGCGTTTAATGCCGGTATCGGGTAGAATTCCACCGCGTACAAGTTCTAAGACCTATATAAACGTGTTCTAGCATCCATTTGAAGCTTTTTCCTTCTCTCTCTACTCTCTCTCTAACCTCTCTCCTAAATCCAAGTTTAAGGGTCCAAAACTCAAATTTAAGGCCTCAAATCCCTAAGGTACCTTCCTAGCCTTAATCTATAGCATAATTGGCTTCCAAATTCGACATTTAATCATGAAATGGGACAACATATATGAGTTTACGGCCCAGGAGGCTGCCTAGGCCGTAAACACCATTTTGAAGGGTTTTAAGCCCTTAAACTCCTTCCTAAACTCATTTGGACTTTAGATATGGCTAAGGGACTTCAAGATATGGACTTAGAACATTTAAAACTTTGATTTTGAGGACTTTGAAGGAGTTTACGGCCAAGGCATGTGCTTGGGCCGTAAACTCATGTAAATGGGGTTTTTCATGCCTTTAAACCCTTCCAAATCACTTGTATGGCTTAGTTATGAATTATAGAACCTTGGTTTTAGCATTTGGACACTTGAAACATGAAATTTGGGGGACTTATGTGAGTTTACGGCCAAGGCATGTGCTTGGGCCGTAAACTCCTCAAAACTTGGCATAAATTCAATTCTAAGGTGTTAGAAAGCCATCCAACACCACCAAAAGCCTTGGAATAAATCAAAGGACCAACCAAAAATAGTTTAGGGCCTTAAACACATTAATTGAGAGATTTCTATGAGTTTACCGCCAAGACTTGTTCATAGGCCGTAAACTCCTTGATTCTTGGTGTTAGAATGCAAACTAAACACCCCTAAGGCCCTTAGATGAATTTTAGAAGTCCTTCCATGCAAGTTTTAGGCCTTGAAACACCTTGTAGCACTATATAGAAGAGTTTACGGCCATGAGGGGGTCTCATGGGCCGTAAACTCCATAAACCCCTCAAATGTCCCTTGTAAACTCATGTTAGGCCTTGGAATAATTCTATTAATCACATGTGATTTGTTTAGGAACCATTTAACATCATTTTCTTGGAAAAATAGGAGTTTACGGCCATGGAGCCATGCTAGGCCGTAAACTCCCATAAGCGGGTCTATTTGATGTTTTAAAATCATTTTAAGTCCTTAAACCAAGTTTAGAAATTATCCCCAAAGTGGTTGAAGTCCAAATTACACCATAAACCACCCATCATGAGTTTACGGCCGTAAACTCATGGGGAATGGGTGTTTTGGCCGTAAACACCCTAAAGGGGGGTGTTCCTTTGAAGTCCCAACTCATTTCCTAAGTCCCTCGCATCATTCATGTCCCTAAACGCCACCCGGGTCCCTCCAAACACTTGTATCGGAGTGTTTTAGCGACTTGAAACAATTGTCCCTATCCAACAATCAATCTAAGTACTAATTAGATACAAATGTGTATCTTTACATCATAATTAGGAACTTCGTGTGTTTACAAGTCCTGGCTCAACTCTTAGCATCCAAACCGTCTCGTATCTCGTCCGATGAGTTCATACCCCTACGGCTTTTTCACTGTTTTCAATGTTTTCAGGGGGGAATACAAGCAAACTATAATTGTTTTCAAATCATAACATTGATATGTTTCAAACAATATCTGACAAACTTATAAACACTTTTACTCCTTATGTATTATGCTGAGCATAAGGAATGATTTATCAATTACAACTAAATGGATTTTAGTTAAGGAAATAAACCAAACTAATCAAATTATTATGGGAATAATTTGGGGTCTTTACTGTTCTTTCTATCATATGTCGATATCTATATCAAGTTATTAGATAAACTATGTCTGATTTAGTTTATCTCCATATCATTTGAATGTATTGTCATATAATTTCATTGTATGTATCTATATTTAATGTACTATGTTTCATAATCCTCTGTATGTCGATATCTTATGAGAACCCTGTGAATAGCTTAGTACTAGTTTGTGAGATAGTCACTACCCTTTATGGATGATCAGTAAATCCTCCCCGGAAGTGTAACCAGAGTCTCCTGGAGGGAGAGCACGGAATTTGTGAATAGATCTATTCGGGACTGACAATCCCACACCTTAACTACTAGCTACAGTTAGGCGGGCACGCCTGGGGTGACAAATTTCTGGATATCGTTTCGACGTCTGACAAACGTCAAAGAGGTCACGTTGTCGTATTAGTATGGTTACCCGACTCACAACATGTATTAATATTAGCTTATTCACAGTTTGGATTTAGAATCTATATCTCTTTCGGGATCGTGATCCCATGGTATTATCAAACTATTTTACATCTAGTACGGGATAGTGATCCCATGGTTTTCTAACTATAACTTGTGCGGGATGTCTTTCCCCATGGTCTTTAACTATATCTTATACGGGATAATGATCCCATGGTTTTGTATCTATAACTTATACGGGATAGTGATCCCATGGTTTTCTAAATCTATATCTTATACAGGATAGTGATCCCATGGTTTTTCCAAATCTATATCTTATACGGGATAGTGATCCCATGGTTTTGTATCTATAACTTATACGGGATAGTGATCCCATGGTTTTCCAAATCTGTATCTTATTCGGGATAGTGATCCCATGGTTTCAATCTATATTTCCATATATACATCAACTTATCTCGTGTTTAGTCCGGGATGATAGTCCCATGGTCTTAAATCTGTACTTTCAAATGCGTCAAACTATCTTATATCTCTTTTGGGATAGTGATCCCAAGATTTTCATTATATAGTTTTGTGTGTGTTAAACTATACTTTGTGATATACAACTAATCTTACAATTAGGAAAATATGGGATTTTCCTGGGGTAAAATACAACACATAATCAGATTGGTAACAAATGATAACTAAACCAACTTCACATAAGAAAATATGGGATTTTCTTGGATAACAAACCTTTTCGGAAACTAAAGGAAACCGATACATTTTCATAAAACAAAACCGCTTATGAACTCACCAGCTTTATGCTGATTTTCAAACCGCTTGTATTCTCAGGTCCAAGTTAGACAGGTACCCGGTGATCTCTTTTGATGAAGACGGAGTGCGTGAAGACTCATCTCAACTTTTGTTAATATGATGCCTATGTATATTTTGTATAACTTTACTTTTCAAACAAATGTAAACTTTCATATGTATGTAATGTAATGTTTGTTTACTGTGATTACTATGTACATTGGATTTGATACACAACGTGGTAGTCCACCTCGGAAATGTTTCCGCCTTTGATTTTCGGGGTGTGACAAATTCTTAGAATGGTATCAGAGTTCTTTACGATCCATTTCTTCTAATTGATTCTTGTTCTAAGCATGAATTCTATAACCCTACCACCGGGCAAGAAACCAATTGGATCAAAGTGGGTTTATAAGGTCAAATTACAACCTGATGGGACAGTAGAGAGATACAAGGCACGACTCGTAGCAAAAGGTTATAATCAAACTTATCGAATTGATTACCTTGATAGTTTCTCCGGTTGCAAAAGTGGTCACTGTTAGGATCTTATTAGCTTTATCTACTTCAAAAGGATGGAATTTACACCAATTAGATATCAACAATGCATTTTTGCATGGTTTTCTGGATGAAGAAGTGTATATGCAGCCACCACAAGGATATGAGAAAGCAAAGAAAGGAGAGGTTTGCAAGCTGAATAAGTCACTTTATGGTCTCAAACAGGCAAGTAGGCAATGACATATAGAGTTTTGTAACAAACTCTTGGATTTTGGATTCCAACAGTCTTCACATGATCATTGCTTATTCACAAAAGGTGAGAATCAATCATTCATTGCTTTAGTGGTATATGTAGATGATGTTTTAATAACTGGACCTAATCAAGACAAGATTGATGAAGTTAAAGATTACTTACACAAAGCTTTCACAATAAAAGACCTTGGAAATGCTAGTTACTTCTTGGGTATTGAGCTATTAAAAATAGAGGAAGGATTATATGTTAATCAAAGAAAATATGTTCTTGATATATTATCTGAAGTTGGATTAATTGGAGCTAAACCAGCCTCAACACCATCAATCAAGAACATGCATTTAAGTATAGAAGGAGGAGTGCTTATGAAGGAACCAGAGAAGTACAGAAAATTAGTTGGAAAATTGCTATATTTGAACTTTACAAGACCAGATATAAGCCATGCTGTTCAACAATTAAGTCAGTTCTTGCACTCACCAACAGATACACATTGGAAAGCTGCATTACAAGTGCTAAAGTACTTGAAAGGAACTCCTTCAAAAGGGTTGTTTTTCAATAAAAAGTCTTCAAATATAACAATTTCAGCCTATAGTGACTCTGACTGGGCTTCATGCAAAGATACTAGAAGATCACTAACAGGATACTGTATATTTCTTGGTTCTTCTTTAATTTCATGGAAGACTAAGAAACAGAAAACAGTGTCTAGATCATCATGCGAAGCAGAATATAGAAGCCTAGCAGCAACAGTATGTGAGCTCTTGTGGATCAGTTACATCCTTAGAGATTTGAAGATCAAGATGCATATTCCCGTGACATTATGGTGTGATAATAAGGCAGCGATTCATATTACAGAAAATCCCATCTTTCATGAAAGGACGAAGCATCTTGATATTGATTGTCATCTGGTTCGTGATCAATATAAGATAGGATTTGTTAGACCAAAACACATTTCAACAAAGGAGCAGGCTGCTGATATTTTTACAAAAGCATTATGTCAACCACAATTTCAGAATTTGTTATTCAAGTTAAACCTTAGAGATATTCACCAAGGTTTAACTTGAGGGGGGCATATTAAAACTCAGATCAGTCAACACGTGTCAATTCAGTTTAGTTTGTTACACCATAGTTAGCTTAATCAATGTACAGTTAGTTTAACTATAGTTGTTAGATGTTAGTTAGAGTTAACAGTTAGACAGGTAGCCTTTATACTCTGTATATATGTGTAATTCATAATTCATCAATACAACACACATTAACATGAATATCTTCTCTACATTATTTTCTCAATCTAATTCTTAGAACGCTCAAAGCATCACAACCACTGCATTAATTAAGCACCATGAGTTAGGATGATAATTACAAATAGCTTCGTGAGATAAAAATTTACCTGAAAAGTCTAGATACTTCAACCAACTGCATGTAGCAGTTTAACATCGGCTTCAACAACTCTGAATTAGGTTGTTTTCCCTCAAACCGGTCTACGATTTTTCTCAAGACCACAGCTACTCTGTAAAACTGGTCCGGGAACATACCAATGTATTGTTGCCCATCTTTTGACAATAGAATTTGAGTAACTACAAACGCTGCCCCCTGCAAATTGAATTAAATCGATATACATGATCAAGATGATGAAGTAACTATACGAATATGATTGTAGTGAAAGTGTGACATTACCTTTTTGGCGGGTTCACTGCCTACATCAATGCAGCTAAGGCATATAGCCAATGTTTGGGTTTCAAGAAGAACCCGTATTATTTCGGGTGTGTTCGTGTCTTCCACTTGGACGAGTCTCACAATGCCACCTTAGGAGCAAATTTTTAATTCCTCTAAATGTCTGATTGCGTTCCACAGTAATATCCATGTAAGGGTCTACATGAAGGGGAAGGTTGGCTGCAAATTAAGTGTAAGATTCTATAACCTTATTGATATGTTACTAAAATGTCAAACAATAATAGGTAGAGGAAATGAAAATTAACTCTTACTACCTCCATTTTTGTGCTAGGATGGTCAGCCATCCACTGTATATAGCCGAAATTAAAAAGAAACAGTTAGGGAAAAAAACATGAAATCTACTATATAGCGAATTAAAAAAGAAAAGTTATGTATAAATATTATGAGTGACCCGAAGTAAAGTTATTGCCTGTGAAACTCTTTTGGCTCCTTCATAATCAAGGGGAGGGGGTGATGATAGCAAATAGTAATTAACCGGAACAACCAAAGGGTCAATGGCCTAGCGGTGGAGTGATCATCTTATATGAGAGGTCAGGGGTTCAAGTCTCGGTGGAGACATAGATGGTTATTTAGGAGTAGATTAGTTAGTTTGCCGTTTCAAAAAAAAAAATTAACCGGAACAAATTTCCGGCATGCATGCAATGATGATCAATAATATGATAAAGATATCATTAATACAAGTATTAAGGTGTTGTCTATGGATTATAAATAAAAAGATACTATCAAAACATATTAGTGTTACCCAACACGATTCATATAATGTGTACAACCTTCATCAATCTTTGGGTCCTTTTCAGAACCATCCAGCAACAACATCATCACAAACCCATAATCTTTTCATCTGGATCAAACACACAAACAACAACTTGTAGGGGATTAAACTTCATCTTCTTGAATTCTCCTTTCCTCCACACATATTCATACCAAGATCTTTTCACTTGGCATGCATCATACACCACACATGAACAAAAATCATTTCATCAATCTTTTGTTCCTTTACAGAACCATCTATCATCATCATCATCATCATCATCAACCCTAGAATCTTTTCATCTGGATCGGAACTACTTTGACTTCAAACGCACATGCATGTGATCAATCCAGCACAGGGAGAGAAGATGATGTCATAGGTCCCATCATTAGGGGTAGAAACACCAAGCATCCCACCACCGGTCCTATACCACAACCATATTCCATCTCCTCCACATCTTTTACACCATTCTCTTCTTCTTCAATGTTATCTCCATTTTCTTCATCTTTCATTCTTGAACCAAAGGCTCTGATACCACTATGTTGGAGAAAGACATTGAAACATGAAGAGAGAATGAGTGCAGTCAAAACAGAATTTTTATTAATCACAATATTACGGCATTAATACAATTTACATGTTTGAAGATATTTATACACACACATATAATAGGTTCAAGATCCTAACCCGAAGGTAGGAACCTCAACCAAACCACCTGTGGTTCGAGAAACAGGGAATTCTCTAGCCAATCGTCTTAGACTTTTATTCCACATAAAAACCTAAGTAATCTATAGAACATTAATTATATAGTCTTGCTAATCCTAATCATAAACCAAAACAAGATCCTAGAAAATAGGAATTCTAAACTAAATAAAAAAACTAATATTCTAATTAAAAGGAAAGCTAAATAAAAGGAAACATTTTTAAACTCTCTCTCTCTTTCTCTCTCTCTCTCTCTCTCTCTCTCTCTCTCTTTATCTCTCTCTTGAATCTTGATGCTTATCCCTTCATCAATAGACCTGACCAAAATGACCAACATGGGTCGTATCATTACTCCCCTCCCAAAAACGCACTTTATCCTTAAGGTAGAACTCAAGAAAATGCATGTTCGTGTCAACCAGATTCTCCTAGGTGGCTTTGTACATGGCAAATCCTTCCAATGAATCAAAACCTCACGACCCATGGCCCATCTCGAACACCTTCCACCTATTCAGATAGCATCAACACCTCCATGTCATCGGTCAAAGTAGCAGGTAGTTGTGGGTTTGCTTCCCGGTTACCTATAGCCTTGTGCAGTTGTGAGACACGGAACACATTATGGATACGAGCGGAGAGGGGAAGCTGCAATTTATACTCCATCGGACCAATTCGAGCTATTATTTCAAAAGGTCTAAAATAGCAGGCCGCCAGCTTTTCATTCACACGCCTTGCCACAGATTGTTGTCAATATGGTCACAATTTTAAAAAGACTCGCTCCCCGACTTCGAATTCCACCTCCTTACGATGCTTATCAGCCTGATTTTCCATTAGTTGTTGAGCCTTTAATAAATCACCCCGCAAATTGTAACAAAACTCAATCCCTCTCCTAAAGGTACTAATCAATAGTACTAATCGTCGTCCTTAGAGTCCCATAATGCAACAAATGAGGCGGATCACGACCATACAAGACCCAAAAAGGAGTAGTGCGAGCAGAAGTATGAAACGTCGTGTTATACCAATATTTTGCCCATGACAGCCAACGAACCCATTTTTTTGGCGAATTTGAAATGAAACAATGGAGATAATGTTGAATCTATATGTCCAAGAATCATTATTAAGTGATATTGCTAATAATATATATGATCCTATAGGGTCACACATTTATCAATCTATCACTTATTGAATATTTATTAAGTATTTGATATTAATAAATAATTCAACTCTTGTATTTAATTAGAGAATAATTATTGTTTTATGAAAATAATAATGAAAGAAAGAACAAACTAGTTATTATATGATATGGTATCATATAATAAGTCATGTACAAAGTTTTGGACCTTTTGGTTAACCATAGAGAAGTTAAGAACTTACTCTACCATGGTTAAAAAAGTTGGAGACAATTTTTGTCTTCATTCCCACACTTGTCACTTGTTCCTTGTTACTTTATGTTTTATAATACTTTAGAATATTATAATCCATGCCTTGTACCCTTTGAAATTTTGCTTTATAATACTTTATAGTATTATAATCAAAAGGTGTTTCTTTACATGGTGTATATAAGAAGAGTCTTGGGGGTTTTATTTTGGCTAGTTCTTTTGTTCATCTCTTTATCCCTTTTCTCTCCTAAAACCGTGATCACCAAGAGAGACCTTTCTCTCCATCTTTTGAAGATGGTGCTTGCATTTTTGGTGTTCACTTTGTGTCTCCCTTAGTTCTTGATTGTTTAAGCACTTAAGGCTTGAATGTCAAAGTCATACAAGAAGGAAACTAGCATTTCATGGTACCTTACTCTTGATGGTGAATACTTGTAGAGATGATCATGGTCTTTGATCTTTACATCCTCATAAACACCCCAAAACCATGTGGGTTCAAAGGCTTCAAATGTTATCTCTAAAACATCCTATTGTTGGTTTTATTTCATTCTAACCTATATAAATGGATCCATGATGGCTTGGTTTTTTTATGAACTAAACATAAACATGTTATTTTTAAAGTCTTTAGTTGTCGGTTTTTGTGAAAAACAAACTTTTATTTCGTATCAAAATCCAACAGTGGTATCAGAGCCATCTTTTATATATTAGAATGATTTTTTATGTTTGATAATCTTTGGTTTTGGAAAACAAGCAAGGATTTCCTTTTGTTAAGAAAAATCCATATTTTGTCTTTTGGCAACTTCTTTGTTACAATTGTTTTTTTATATATAACCATTTTTCATGCATTTTGGTTATATAAAATTAGTCTTAGAAAAAACAAATAGTTGTTTGTTATAATATTTGATATGTTGTTGTGTATAAACAAGTCATTTGGTTGATATTTATTTATTCATAAGATGTAATAGATAAATAGGTATTTTTCATTTGTGGATTTGATGTAATAAATTAGTTAGACTAGTTGTGTTTACTTTAAATGTAACAAGATGAAGAAATAACCACCTTGAAGACCTTTGAAGTGTCCCGTAAGTCCTTTAGGAAAGACTTGATAATTATTGTGATGGCTCACAAAAATTATTACTAGACATGGCTTGGTTAATACACATTATAATGCATGCTTGTGATGTTTATTTTATGTTAAATGTATGTTATGTTTTATGTATGAAAATAGTGTTTACATGTCAAATAACATTTTTATTAAGATAATATCACTTGGAGTTTGAGTAAAAACTATTTAAACTAACATAAGATAATATCACTTGGGTTTTTACATGTCACCTAACCATTTGTGAAATAGAACTCACATGTTTTTGAAATGGATGATTTGATCAATTTCTTATGTGATAAAGGCCGCCTAAGCATAAGAGTTTTGATGCATAGATTGTAACGCCCGGGTTTTCAGGGCTAAGCATTTTTGTCAATGTAATAGTCTAGGTCAACTATTGTAACTCTTTTTGAAGTAATAAATATGAAATATTTGAGTATTATGTGAATTATGTGTGTTTATGTGTTTATTATTTAATTATAAATGTATAATTAATAAAGAATAAAAATGAGCGTCAAAATTAAAGTGTGAGATAATCCCGATATCTCTACATAAAGTTGTAGAATATGTCTCAAGGTTTCCGTGCATATAAAGAATGCCGAAATCCGAGCTATAACGAAGAAGTTATGGCCCGCCGAAGTTTTACGACAAAACCGGCACGATACCGGGAGACGTAAATAGTGAATTTACGATAGAAGACTTTTTAGCCTTAGCAATCTAAACAAAAGTCGTAGAATATGTTAAACTAAGAACATCGATAAAAAGAACGCCCAAATCTGACTTCGTATGAAGAAGTTATGATTTTTCTAAGATTCGGCTTAGCAGTGCACGGCCTGAAACTCGAATTTTAGTTCGAGCGGTTTTTGGCTTACGCAACATAAATGAGAGTTGAAGATCTCATTAATAGGAAATCAACGGTAAAAAGACAGACAAAAACAGAGTCCGTATGTAGAAGTTATTAATTTTACGCAGACGTTTAACAGTATAATCTCCTTGTACTGTTAAATTTAAGATCGGTCGAGAATTAGCTGACGGTGTCAAAATGAAAGTTGTAGATCTTATTATTACCTACGCGTGGATATAAAGAACGTCAAAAACGGAGGTCGTATGTGAAAGTTACGGATTTTAGAAGTCGGAAGTGTGCTGTGCGAAAATGGGTGATGTGGCACAATCTTGGCCATTGCTTTCTCCCCAAGGCTTGCCACCAGATGGTGACATGTGGCACCAAGTTCAGCCACATTTCACCCTATAAATACCACCTCTCCCACCCTCATTTTCTTCACACCTTTCCCATTCTTTCTTCTCTTTACTCTCTCTCTCTCTCTAGAACCTCTCTCTAGCCCCGAAATCCCCCGAAAAGCCTAGGGAACCTCCCTAGCACGAGGCGGAAGCCCCGGAGTGCTCGAAGGCTCTGAGAAGAAGAGCTTTTCGGCTCGGGAACGCTGCTCCAAGCAAAGCCCGGTTTTCTATAAAACCCGCTGTAAGTGAGCTACGCCTACGCTATTTTTAATATAACTTTTATTTAATTATAGTAACGTTATTAGGAACTTATAATAAATACTTGGGCTATTATTATGGGTTATATAAGTATTTTTTTGACGCTTATATAATAATAATAATAGCTAGACTATTAATTAGTCTCGACGAATAATAAACTAAACTCTAGTGGTAATAATACTAGGTTTCGTCGAAGAAAAATTCTTTTTAAGAAGCGAAGCGCTGTCTGAGTTCGGAATCACCACCTTTTCCGGTGAGTGCATAGTTACCTTCAACTTACACATAGATATGAAGTATTTTATATAAATTACGTGCTATGTGTGCATATTATCTGAATACTTGCTATCTATGCTAGATGAACGTTGTTATACATGTTTTCAATGATTTAAACTGTATATGTATTTTATATCTACGAAAATGTTGGGGTAAAACATGGGTAGATGTAATAGGTGATGTGTGATAAAATGATGAGAGGCCTCGATGTTGTTGTTGTTGATCCAGTCATCTAGCGGAGTATAGATGACGACCACGGACTCTTCTAGACAGTCCAGTGGAACACTAGCAGGTTCGCAACCTGTAGGTGTTGTGAACGATGTGTTCACCGGTGTACTCCATCCCCCACATGGTTGCCTATTAGGACATTTATTGCTGAGGAATCCCCTTAGCAGTAGTGTCCGTCCCGATGATGATCCTTAGGCTAGGTCCCTTATGATAGGTGTTTAGGGACGTAAAGTGAGGATAACGGGAACGGGTAATCGGGTTATTGTTGATTGATGAAATTAATAAACTTATTTATTGTGGGTTGAAAACCCTATGTGCTCACCAGGCTCCCAAGCCTGACCCA